TCTTTGAAACTATTGAAAATTTATAACTTCTTATGAAATTTTCAAAATCTTTCAAATCTCTCATAATTCATGCCTAATATATTTGCATTGAAAATAACGAATGGTCGAATTCGAAAAGAATCACCAAATGAATGCGAAACACGCAATATTTTTGCCTGAATTCATAATGTCATAAAGAATTTATAATGTCATGTTCATTCCTGATGTCATGAACAATTGGAGCATCTCAAACACCCAACTGAACACCTCTCGCTGCATCTGAATTTTCACACATTCTCAATTTACATCCAATTTATTGCTTATAATGTAGTTGCAAATTGCAATGGTACACTATAGTACGAATAATAATGAAGTGAAAGGAGAGGCATACGGATATGAGGAATCGTTTTTGCGCGTAAAAATTAATGGCTCATATAAATGATTTAAATGAGTCTTGCGGTCGGTCTATTTTAAAGATATTCATGATAGTAACACGTAGATAATGATCATAATGCAAACTATTTTGATCACTTTATTCAGTTTCTTTTTTCATCTGGCAGATGAATTGTAAATTATGCGTTCGCTTTGCTTTTGAAGGTGTTCAAAGTGTGCATAATTGTGAGCAAACGAATGTTACTTCCAAAAGAAATAACGCTTCCAATGTGCACAATGCTGACGACTATAAACTTTTTCGTTTTATGCCGAACATATCACCAGCAAATGGCTATAAACAAGGGCGATTGATTATATAGGCTATAATATTTTTAGTAGAATTTATGAATCTGGTCTATTTGTGCTCATGTTTCTTTCTGCTTTTGCACAAGAATGTGCCAGATTGCAATGGAAAAACAAGCACTTTTCAACATTTCGAAGTCAAATAACATGTGTTTTCAATTAAAGTGCTCGGCTACAAGGAATGTTTAGAATGAAGGATCACTTTTTTGCTTAGCCTATCCATGCCTTCAGAACACCATACGATTAAGAACTGCTGTCTGATGAATTGCTTACAAATCGTTAGAGCAAAGTCTGAATTAACTATAAACTTTTTCGTTTTATGCCGAACATATTACCAGCAAATGGCTATAAACAAAGGCGATTGATTATATAGGCTATAATATTATATAGGCTATATTCAATTAAAGTGCTCAGCTACAAGGAATGTCTAGAATGAAGATTCACTTTTTGCGTATCATATCCATGCCTTCAGAACACCATACGATTAGGAACTACTGTCTGATGAATTGCTTACAAATCGTTAGAGCAAACTCTCAGTTTTCACTGCTTCCGCGCTTGACATCTGAATGATAACAATTCAATCATGTACCAGATAGTCAAATTCACAAATCTGTCTGAAAGCTGCTGTGAATGCTCCATCGAGGCAATCATACCATTGAGATATTTTGATGAGATTTTTCCACGATCCTAATAATAATGGCTATAATATATGATAATAATAGTAATAATGGTGCTACTGAATAATAATAATAATAATAACAGTGATGAATACAAAAATCTGTACACGTGCATGTAAATGTGTATAGCTGCTTGTTTACAAGCACAACATGCTTGAGCGATGTTTTTTTTTTACGATACTGTAATCTCGTGATAGTAACATTAGATTTAATGGCCGACGAGAATCAGCATTTATGTTTTTAATGGCTGATCGTCATTTTTACAGTTTGCAAAAAAATATTTAAAAGCAAAATTTATGCGATATGCATAAGCTATCATTGAATACATGCAAAATGTGATCGGGCACAATGAATTTGATGATTAAATTCGATAGTACCGTAATCTGAAACGGCATTTGCATTTACTAAACGTTATCTTTTCACGATACGCCCGAAAGAGTAGTTTTTGAAAACACGTGAACATTTTAGTGTACATTCGAAATTGTGATAAATTTCTGCATGCGAGAAAAAATCACAGTCATCTTCTGGAAAAATCAAATGAAGTTTGGATCAAATGTATCAAACGTAAATACGTTCTGATGATAAGATCTAACAAGCTCTGTTATGAGCTCGCACGCATATTTCACTGTAATGCATCTTCCTGAAGCTGTAATCAATGCTTGATCGAAAGATTCATGCAGTTGAAGCTCATGAGAAATTCTCATCTCAATCGTATTGATGAATTGTGGTGATAAGATGTGTTTGCTTTGCATGGAATAAAAAAATTCAAATCATGCGTCTAACTCGAAGTTCATTCTAGAAATTATAGTTAATCAAGGAGCTAGCAAAACACTCGTATAATCACTAAAGAGAGAGTTAAAGTTGACTTAAGTATAGGTGGAATATTGTAAGGGATCCTACTGAGTGATGTGAACAGATCAAGCAAGTGATATCAAGCTCCTCTCAAGGGTGCTGGACTTCTAAGCCATAAAATCAGGGTCTTTTTGACATCAAGAATTTCAGCGTTTGGAGCAAGACGTTGTTCAACCGGCCATTGAAGAGCCATTCGAACGTCGAATCACCGAACCACTCGAATATGAGGCCGAACCAGATGACGATCTAATTGCTCCTCCCAAGGAACCCGAAGAAGAGAGCTGCCTTGAGCATGAATTCCGTTGTGGATCCGGTGAGTGCATCGATCGTAGACGTCTTTGTGACACTCGTAGGGATTGCCGTGATGCATCGGATGAGGCCAACTGCGTGCAATCTCAACCTCAACAGCAGCAGCCTGCTGCACCAGCAGCGGTACCTGCCGGGCAAATGTCGAATGCCATAGGTAGGTGGCGATCGCTTTCGTTTCGAAAATTTTATATTTTGTTGAAAATTTTCTGATTTTTTCTTCATTGGGTCAGTTTGTAATTTTGCATGCAATCCGTTTTGCTGCTGGAATTTTTCAGTTTTTCATTTCAATTTATAGCCACATAGTACTCATTTTCATGGAGATTTTTTGCAGTCGTCGAATTCATTTTGTTTACTTTACTTTATACAATTGCTTGCCATCTTCACTGCATCGGCTCAAGTCATGAGTTGAAGAGGTGACTATAGGCAACTTAAATTTCTCGCTCACATATCGTTGAAGCTGGCAGCATAAGATGAGGAATACATCATAAGATGTAACATTAGTAAGGATGCAATGTGTGCTAGAAAAGTAATTGCAATTGATAACATCAAGAGATTTGATACCTGAACGCATATCTGCTGCAAATATGAATAGATATTTGAGATATGTGCAAGACTTACAATGACTTTTAACAGCAAATGTGAAGAATGTGAAATTATCGAATGCCATCCATTTGAATCTGAAATGTTCACACATTTGATTTGGTTTTTTCTCGGCTAATTTAAATGACTGGAAACCTTTTTGGAGGGGAATCCAGTTATCACGACTCAGCATTTAGCCGCAGAAGTGGTTGCCCTTTCGGTCGTGTTCTTTGCCCTTTTCTTGTTTACGTGATAGTTGCATATGAATTGCATTTGATTTGATGAATAAAATATAGTAAGTAAGCAGCGCGAAATATCAACGTACAATTTAGATGAGAATTCCATCGAAAACGATAGTTGATTTCTCTTGTTTCTTGTTTTTTTCACAAAAAATTTTTCGTACAAGACGATTGATGGTGTGAGAGAATAGTTTTTTGGAATTGTTGATGAATGGTTGTGATATGATCGATTGTCGTTCGTTATTCACATTTTAACGCAGATGGAAAATTGTTTTGTGGTGAAAATTTGATAGTTTTAAGGTAGAGAAAAAACAAAATTCAGTTTTGATTTGATACGAGAGATTAATTGTGGGTATGTGTAATCTGCATGTGAGAGAAAGCGCATTAGAATTGCAATGAACAAAATTAATTCACTGTGAAGTTTTGTGTTAACAGTTTCCGTCTATTAGTCATGATGAGTGTCGTCAGTTCACACCACCCGCTGCTGCTACTGCTGCTGTAATTTTTCGAAAATCTTCATTTTCAAACGGCAATTTGAAAGTGGTAAATAGTGAGCGAGAAAAGCGTAGTGATTCAATTTGTTTTGCGAGCTGAAAGTTTTTCACTAATCAAATGAATATTTTCCAGTTAAATGAACATTTTCTAGTGTTATTCATTAATCAGAATTTCGTAAGAGATGTTTCCATAGTTATTCATCATGATCCGATCGAATGTCGATACATTTTCTGAATTGAAATTACTTGACACTTCAGCAATTTTATCATCCGCTTAACTGCATATTAACTTGGGATTGAGGAAATCACTGATTTGATGTGAAAATACGTGATTTCCTGCAAAAATTTGATGTTTCATGAGAGCATCTAACGAGTACACTCGCAGATTTACTCGAAGTCATATATCTATCCCGCATCACTAGAACTAAAGGTGACCCTGAGATGTCCAACAAAACTGAGGGCACATAGCAATTTTGTAACTATCCGTGAGAAGAATGTCAAGAAAAAAAAAACTGTTCGGCTGATGCAATGAATTGAAACGAGCGAATGCATGTGAATTTTTAGTGTTACGTCAGAAAACATCATTTTAAGCAATGCATTCACCGTCGATCGCAATACAATTTACCACTGATATCGATGTTGAAAAGTTGTTTAATGATAGTCGATAACATGAAAAATGCTTGAGTGCAGACTTTACTACGATTGTGATTGTTTTGGTGCTGCTTGCACCCCTCTTCATACTGTAGGCTTGAAACCCACAACAAGCATTTGTTGACTGGATTCGTCTCCTTGCTTATAATCATCTCCTTAGTGGATCCTATCCGAACATGATGATTTATACAATAGAGATCACAACGATGACAGTAATATTGATTATAAGATTAACAAGTAACAGAAATGGCGTAAATTGAGGCTAAAACAATGTGCACGGAAACGTGAGCATTGTGGCCAACAACGTTACAAACGTTTGATAGCCTGGCCAATCTAGGTAATCCATAAGAGTAGCAGTAATGGTAATAAGCGCCTGTAACAGTAACAGTGGCAATAATGATAGTGATATCGATAACATTGGTAATGACATCAGACTGATTAATTTGATTACAATAATAGTAAATAAAGCAATAACTTTAAAATTTTCCTAACGTATGCTATAAATCAAGCAATTAGTGTGGGATTTATTGATGCGAGAGCAAACTTGTTACAATTAAAATGTTTTCTTGAATGCGTGTAATAAACAACACAAACAAATTAAACTTCAATTCATTTCGTTGAACTGAATGCTTTGCGTTTCAGTTTGAGAATAATGCCACCTGTGGTGTTATGCCATATTGTATGGCCATTAAGCCGGCTTGAATCGAGTTGAGGGTCGTCGCAACCTCTTGGAAGAAGTCTTATTGTTAAGCAATCAGTATTTTGAATTGCACTAGCACCACCTGCCGTTTGTTTCAATTCTTTTGCGTAAAGGCGAGAAGCTGCTTTCTGAGGAAAATGTTACATATTCTATGAAGCTGCCTGCATAATCATTAGCTGACAACAGATGAGTGGAGAGTTGCAGCAGCAATAACTATGCATAAACCTAGAAATGTAACGAAAAGCAGAACCGAACGTAACAATTCAGTGAAATTCGAAACGAGAAATATTCCTCGTTCATTTACGAATAATCATAAACTTTCTTTCGAGCATTCAAAGCTGTAACATCAACAACAACAAAACAACAACAATATGCACCTCACACTAGGCTTGTTAAAACGTCCACTGTTAACTGACTATTTTCAGCTATTAAACCGTACTGAATTCAGAACGCTTAAGTAAAAAGAGTGGAAGCATCGGCAATAAACTCATTATACTTGAATCATTGATAAATAAGTAAACAACTTAATCTCATAGCACAACAACAATAACGCATCCCGCATTGTAATACACTTCACATTCGTAGGCATTTTAGCAACGGCAATAACAACGTTGATTCCGTTGATACAATCAATTCAGTTCGTATCATTGTTTGCCTTTTTTTGTGGATTTTGAAGAGTGACTAGTGATCTTTTTGAGCTGTCGATCAGGTGAAGTATCAATTTGTCCGTTCCTGATGGTCATTTGATCTGTTTTGTTAGCGCTATCCGATTTCATCTGGTTTCGTCACAGATTCAGTTTCCGTCTTCATTACAATGCCAACTTCTCATATCCCATTGTTAGCTTGTCATTTTTTCTGTCGCTGCCAGTCATATCGTTTGCAAATCGCTACAATCGTGCACCTATTCAATTGGGCAATATGACATAGTGTTAGCAAGCGATTGCCTACGAAGATATTTTCCGTTAAACGTGAATTGATATTTTTGGTGGTTATCTCTCGAGGAAGTTGCTCAGAGAATGGCTTTGCAAATTTTAACTCCAGTTTAGCAATCGTTATGCATTTTTTGGTCATATCATATTCGTAACGAGCATTTTTCTGGTGATCATAAAATGCTGATTGATCATAAAGTGCTTGCGATGATCATAAAGTCGTGATTGTAAGCATGCATCGAAGCCGTGTCAAATTCATATTGCAATTGCAATCGCATTCCCAGGCTTAAAATTTCGCATCAGAATGTCAGCAGCTCGATGCATTCATTCTTTTCAGACTGAAATTGAATGTGAGCAGCTCGAAACAGTCTCGAACAAACTTTTTGTGCTTTTTTGTGTCTCAAGTGGTCGCACACAAACCCTCGAGTTTTTTTTTTTCAGCTCATCGTTGTTGCGTTGTAATAACATATCGGAATGAATCGCGAAGAATTCACGAGAAATATGCGAGAGTGTTTGAAAAAGAAATAACTGTGATTGGTACGGGAAGCGGTGTGGAGAGTTGAACTATCGTTAATGACTTTTCTTTAATAAGTGAAAATTTCTGAAAATTGACACATTCGTAGTATCGATGACAGAACATGTACTTAGTGTAGGTGTTTGTGAATTTCCGTTTATTTTGTTCACTCGTGTTTGCGTATTTGCACGTAAGGTGAGAAATGTGTGACGATTGGAGTCATTTTTCACGAAAATAGCTTTATTCTCTCACATATTTGACGCATTTCGTGTCATCGTTCATTCCTCATCTGAGAAACAGTCACAAGGATCCGTTTCCTGTTGCACTCTAGTAACTTATCGCCTCGGATATCGATGTCAAGTTGGTGGCTGATATGAGCTAATAGAATTTCCCGGGTCGATATATCGTATTGATGGAGTAATCACTTTCAGGCGCAAACATTTTCTTCAAGAAATATGCCTTTTTGGGCAAAAAACTATACCATTTGGGCAAGGAAATATATTTTTGGGTATTCGGGCAAAACGGATGTTTTAGGAACGTTTAAATTGTGATCCTTTCGGTATTTGTCATATGAGAATCGAGCCGAATCAATGGGCAGTCTCGTTTTCGAGCACTTTTCTCTTGTAAATTTCTCAAATGATCTTCGTTCAGACGCTTAAGATCGCTGAGAAATTTGTTTCACT